TGTCCTATCCTTCCTCCCTCCCCTCTTTCTCTTCTCCTCCTTCCTCCCTCCCTCCTCTTTCTCTCCCTACCCTTTCTCCCTCACTCCCTCCCTCTCTCTCTCTCTCCTACCCTTTCTCCTCCTCCTCCTCCCTCCCCCTCCTCTCCCTTTCTCTCTCTCCCACCTTTCTCTCTCTCTCTCTCTCTCTCTCTCTCTCTCTCTCTCTCTCTCTCTCTCTCTCTCTCTCTCTCTCTCTCTCCCACCTTCTCCCTCCTCCTCTCTCTCTCTCCCACCCTTTCTCCCTCCTCTCTCTCTTCTCTTCTTCTCTCTCTCTCTCTCCCACCCTTTCTTCCTCTCTCTCTCTCTCTCTTCTCCTCCCTCTCTCTCTCTTCTCACTTTCTCCTCTCCCTCTCTTCACCCTTTCTACTCCCTCCCTCCCCTCTCTCTTTCTCTCCCACCCTTTCTCCCTCCCTCACCCTTTCTCCTCCCTCCCTGTCTCTTTCCACCCTTTCTCCCTCCTCACTCTCTCTCTCTCCATCCTTTCTCTCTCCCTCCATCCCTCCCTCCTCTCTCTCTCTCCCACCCTTTCTCCCTCCCTCCCTCCTTCTCTCTCCCACCATTTCTCCCACACTCTCCCACCCTTTCTCCCTCTCTCTCTCCAACCCTCCTTCCCTCTCTCTCTCTCCACCCTTCTCCCTCCCTCCATCTCTCTCCACCTTTCTCCTCCTTCCCTCCTCTCTCTCTCTCCCACCCTTTCTCCTCCTCCCCTCTCCTCTCTCTCCCACCCTTTCTCCTCCCCTCTCTTCTCTCTCTCCCACCTTTCCCTCCTCCCTCCCTCCCTCCCTCTCTCTCCTCTCTCTCTCTCTCTCTCTCTCTCTCTTCTCTCTCTCTCTCTCTCTCTACTCTCTCTCTCTCATCCCTCCCTCCCTCCTCCTCCCTCCCCCTCCCTCCCTCCCTCCCCCTCTCCTCCTCCCACCCTTTCCCTCCCACCCTTTCTCCATCCCTCCCTCCCACCCTTTCTCCATCCCTCCTCCCTCTTTCTCCATCCCTCTCTCTCTCTCCCACCCTTTCTCCCTCCCTCCCTCAGTCTCTCAAGTAGAATGTAAACAACACTTGACGGTTTGCCAGGCGCGCCGAGCACAAACACCTCGCTTTTCGAACCCACGGTAAAGCACTCGAATAAAAACACAAAACGCATGTACAACAAAAACACTAATTTGCATAATTCCCAGAGCACACGTTAAGAAAATAATAATAATAATAAGTAAAGAAAAAAAACGATTAAATAGCTATATATCAGGCATCAAACCGTTAGTTTCACGTAATTGAAATTAATAGCCAACGGAAATTAATTATTTTGAAACGAGCGATCGTTATTCTCACGAGTTTTTGTACAGTATTATTAGGAATCACTTGCTATTTCTGAAAAAAAAAAGTTTAGTTATCCCTGTAACGTTATCACTATAATCTCTCCTATGAATTTATCATTAGTATCGTTATCATAATCAACAGAATTTATTATTGTTATACATCTTTTTCTCCACCTTCATTATTATCATCATTCGTTCCAGTTATGTCGATTATTACCACTGTAACACTCGCTGTCTCCTTTTTGGGATTGTTGCAATTATAATTATCATTATGATTATCAACAATATATCTGTCACTTTTATCACGTTTTATCAAATATCATTTTATCAACTATTATGCCATTACCAACACTGCAGTTGCTCTCATCTTTATCAACACCTTTTCCTAATTCCTTGTCACTATCCCTCCCCCTCCCCCCCCCTCCCCCGGGCACGCGTGGGCGCCCTCACTCACCATCCGAAGTACCAGGGGCGCGTGCCGGGGGCGCGGGCGGCGCGGGCGGGGTGCATGGCCAGGGCGTCGCGCAGGTCCACGAACTCGGAGCGGAAGGGCAGGAACTGGCACTCGTCGGCCACGGCCTCGTAGGCGCCCTCCACGCTGTCGTAGACGCTCCTGAAGAAGGCGAGCGACAGGCGGTCGAGGGCGGGCCAGCGGGCGGCCGCCTGGCGCACCACCAGCGGGCGCGAGCGGTACGCCCACTCCGCGAAGGCCGCCCGCGAGACGTTGGCGCCCAGCTCCACCGCCGCGCGCACGCCCGCGCACACCCGCCCGCAGTCCGTCCGCAGGCGCGTCGCCTCCATCACGAAGTAGTTGTTGCGCACGAGGCAGCGGGAGCTGACGAGGTCGGCGCGGAGGCCGTGCAGGGGCGCCGCCCGCGAGGCCAGGAGGGCGGCGCGGCGAGCACGAGGGCGGGCGCGAGGGCGGGGGCCAGGCGCCGCCGCCAGCCGTTGGCACTGGCACCCTTGGCACTCCGGGGGCTCGGCGCGGCGCCCTCCGCCCCGACGCAGCTGCGCTCACAACACATGGCACTCAACTCGTCCACCGCGATGCCCTTCTGCTGCGCCTCCCGCACGAGGCGCTCGCACAGGAGCCGCAGTTTGGTGCGGGCGCGGGCGGCGGCGTGAGGGGGAACATTGTTGTTCTCTGACAT